CATTGTTCACTGAATATAAACTGTGTAAGTGATTTCTTTATTATTATAATTATATTAATTAATTTATGTTGCCACCCATGCTTTTTAAAATAAATTAAACATAATCATCAGTATCAGTGTTTTATTAATCTGCCGCCTATCCAAACCAATTAGATTTCCTTTTTCTTCCTTCAACCTCGAATTGTGTTCACTATTGTCTCCTTTTCTTTTTTTAAACCCTACACTATGTATGGATGGTTCAAACGCTTTATCGTATTTTATTACTCCTCATGATTTACTTTACACTTGCATTAAGAAATAATATAACTTTACTTTTTTATCTTTATTTAATTTTTTTGGAACTCAAGTTTTCAATCAATGAATATAAATTAATTTATTTTGATTAATTAATTTAATCAATTAACATGAATCATTTACTTAGTTTTTCTAAGTTGGTCAAATATATATTTTCAAGGCTAATAACTCACAAGAATAAAAAAAGGAACAATATGGTAATTTATGCATTGATTTTATGAAATGATAAATATTATGAATCACCTATTTATAGAAATGGATGACATATAAAATGGGACGGAGGGAGTATATTGTATCGTTTAAACATATCATTAGGGGTGTTCACGGATCGGTTTGGATTGGTTATTGGTCAAAATCAAAATCAAATCAACTTAATCGGTTTTAAAATTATCAAAACCAAACCAAACCAAATATAATATACATTTATCGGTTTGGTGGTTATCGGTTTCGATTTGGTTTGGTTTGGTTATTCGGTTATTAACCATACACAAAAATAAAAGAAACAATTCATTCAAAATGTGAAAAAAGTGACAACAATCCATTTAAAATGAAAAATAGTTAGAATGACTTAAATTACTAAACTTTCGATCACTAAATTTACTATCAATAAAACTTTAAAATTCACTATATTGGCCTAGAAGGAAGAGACAATAACATTTTCAGTCCCAACGAAGAATTGTCATAGGCACTCATATACATGAAATCAATAAGATAAATGTTCCATCTTGGACATTTTTTCTTTTAATAAGTAAATTATAAAGAAATTTTAATGAAAATATGTATAAGATCTTTAAAGTTGTTTATAAAAATAATATATTAAGTATTTATATTAATAAAATATATGTATATAATTTATCGAATTGGTTCGGTTATTTCTCTGGTTTTTTCGAATAAAACCATAACCAAACCAAATACTATCGATTTTTAAAAATCTAAAACCAAAACCAAACCAAACCCAAATAAAATTGATTTTATTTTATCGATTTGGTTCGGTTTTTCGATTTGGATCGATTTTTATCCAAACCGTGAACACCCCTACATAGCATATATGTATAACATTTAAATAAACTATATTTTTTTCCATCGCTACATAATATATATAATACATCGAAAATTTAAAGAATAAATGCACACAAAGTATAATACGAGGTAGAACTATTTTTAAAAAAAAATAACAACCATCCTTTTTTAAACCCTACACCATGTTTGGGTGGTTGATATGCTTTCCTAATTTATCGTAATATATTGTATTGTTTTAATAAATACGAATAGATTAGGATGTTGTCTATCGACTATTGCTATATATAATATGACATGTCAATATATAATTTGAAGAATAAAGGAATAAATTATAAAATATGAGGTAAGACTATTATAAAAAAGTAAGGTGAAAGATAAAACAAGATTATTAAATAATGCTCCATCCGTCCCATTTTATATGTCACATTTTTATTTTGCACTTGCATTAAGAAATTGTGTAACTTTACCCTTCTACCCTTATTTAATGTTTTCTTAAGTCAACTTTACTAATAAATGACAAGATTAATTAACTATTCTATCAAGGGTATAATAGGCAAAATATGATAATTTATGCATAAATTTTATAAAATGACAAATATTGTGGTCCAGATTTTATAGAAAGTGATGACATACAAAATGGGACGGAGGGAGTACTATGAGAAGAAAAGAGAAGTTAACGAGATCATACCAAATTAATTATTACACAAAATAAAAAATTTCATCATTTTGTTACAGTAAATTTTAAAAAAATCTATAATAAAATTTAAATAAAAACCAAAATAAACATTATATTTAACATTACAATACCACATATAACAACTATCCAAACATTGCTTCACTTCTTTTTCAATCGAAAATTTATTTAAAACAATTTTTTTTCTAAAAATAAGGTTAAATTACATTTTATAAAACATAAAGGCTTATGCTTACAGTTCATGATTAAATTTAATTGATCTTTAGCCAATTATTCTTGAATTAAATTCAATAAAAAAATCTAAAATTTGTACTTATGCTTGTGTGTAAAGTACCTGCATGTAGATTCTGATTAATGGTTTTATTTAGATAAAATTATTAAAGAAAACAGTTCATTGTGTAATTCAGTATGGGAAGTACAATTTTTGGTTATAATTTCGAGTAATTTGTATTATTTTAAGAACAAAAGCTTTAACCTAATGCATTGATCTACTAATTCCCTGTTTTATTTTCTTGCTTTTGAGAAAAAGGTTTTTATGGTGCCAAATTGTGTTTCTTGCTTTTTTACTTGGATTTTTAATACTTATATTTATTGTGTTGACGATATAATACGTGTCATTGACCTTTCTATGTTTGACACGTTTATAATTTGTAATTTAAAATATTGGTAAAGTTTAATTTAAGCTAATAAGATGTTAGTCACGTGCTTGTATTATGTACTACTATCTTAGATTTTACTTTTGAAAACTTTGTTTACTAGTAATGTGAATGTTATTAGTTTATAGTTCAAACTTCTAAGATATTTCTACGGTTAAAATTTTATTAGTTTATAGTTCAAAATTTAGAATTGAGATTTACTACCTTCTTAACAACGTTACTGTACATGAAAATAAATACATATTCTATGTGTTGTAAAGATAAAAAGATTATTTTGAAAAATGGTGTATATTTTTTTATTAATTGAAAATATTAATAATTAAGTAATAAATAAAAGGAAATAGTGTGTTTTTAGATATTGATTGTAACTATTTGACAGAATTGGTAACTTTCTAGTTTCAAGTGGTTGAAAAATGGTATTCTCAAGAGAATCGAAAATTAATTGTAATTTGATTACTTTCAAGTAATTGTAACTTTCTAGCTTAATACGGTTATATACATTTCTAAATATTTTTGTGTGAAGTTTATCCTGCGTTTTCTCATAGATTTTGAGAGAAATATTTGATTTTTTTTTAAAAATGATTTATATTCATAAATTCTACAAATTATTTAAAATACTCATAAGTTTGTACTATCATTTTATAATGAAAATGTTTTGAGAAAATCCATGACACTGAGTATAATTAATATGAATTTGAAAAAAGAGGAAGAAAACAAAAAGAAAACACTATTGATTTGTATACAAAAAATTACTAATATTACTTGTAATTGAAAGTAACTTCGGAAAGAAAGCTTAGATAAAAATTGTATAAAATATATATATAACCGCATTGTTTTTGTACAACAAACTAGGAATGAAATTTAGTCAACAAACTATAAATAGGTATTTTTATCAAATATTAAAATTACGCCCAAATACTGCTTTTTTCTAGAACTTGAGAACTTGGAATGTTTGCAAATATGTTTTTCAAATGATGATACATTATATGGCCAAACACTAGCTTTCAATTTTTTTCCAAATATATTTATGGTCAAATGGACATTAAATATAAAACTAGAAATATAAAAATAATATTTAAAACATTTATATTCTCCACAACAATGAAACTTCTTATTAATTAAAATAAAAAGACTAGTAAATGGAAATTAATAGAAGTGCTGCATTCTTTATAGTTAATACCACCGTACAAAATTATAATTAGATCTTTTAACTAAAAAAAAAAAGGCCAAGTAATGATCACATGAAAATAATGAAGTTTTTAATAATTGAATTAAAAGATAAAAAAATATTATTGAAAAAAAGGGTAGATGGGGGGGAGGGTTTGAATGTGGGGCTGCTCATATTTTACCGAAGGGGTTTGAACTACCTCTCTTATCACACTCAATCTAGTTGATCCAAAGGCTCTTTCGATTTCAGACTGATCCCCGGGATCTTCTTCAGTCGGGGGAAGGCTTGGTTCTGTCGAAGAACTAACACCCCCTCCAACATCCGCACTTGATCCTGAGCAAGAGACTAAAATGAATTCTCTCTTTTCTTTTGTTTGCTTTTAGATTGCCTTAATTTTCTATCTGCTGCAGTAAATGAGACAAGAAATTGAGATTGCTGGTATACCGGGTAGATGTTTATCTTTTCTACTTCAGCGAAAATGTTCAAAGCACCACCTTCGTCAATTATCTTGAAGTCGAAAGGAAAGAGGACAAAGTCTTACTTACTTAAAAGTAAAAAAAAAAGGGGACATACAAAGTATGTATTAATTAAATTATGGTTAATGGATTATAAAATTTATGTAAAGCACATGTCATGTATTTATTTGATTGTGTAAACAGTCGAAAGGAAAGAGGACAAAGTCTTACTTACTTAAAAGTAAAAAAAAAAGGGGACATACAAAGTATGTATTAATTAAATTATGGTTAATGGATTATAAAATTTATGTAAAGCACATGTCATGTATTTATTTGATTGTGTAAACAATTTGCACCAAGGGGAGAATCTAAGGGTCGAAAGGGTGTTCACTCGTACCCCTTTGATTAAAAATCACTATATCTAAGGTAATTTATATATATATATATATATATATATAATTTGAATCCTATGAATACAAGAGAAAAGACTACAAAATAGAGCATGTATAATGAAAGTTCTATACATCTATAAATCTTGTTCTAATATTTAACATCAGATAGTAGCAAAATTCTTTATACTTGACAACTACTAGAGACTCTTTCTTTCTGTGTCCCATTATTCAACAGGACACAGAAACACAATGTGGTATCGCGGAGAACACATTTCCCCCCTTACATGGTGAAACTAGTCGAGTGTGAACTTGTTCGTTATGTCAATAAAAATGAGATCTATACTCCTCAAGTCGATAAAATTTCCTAAAATGATATTCTGCATCCCAAAGGAAAGAACCAAAAGCAACAGCCTCCAACACAAACCTCTTCAGACTCGCGAATGACGTTGAAACTTCCTCATGTTGATTCTCATCGCCAAAAAGAGCAGAGCAATGCTTCTCCATCAGACTCACCGTCACGTTGAATTTTGGTTTTCTACACATTTTCATTATTTCATTATCAAAATTCGCAACATAAGACCTAAAATTGTCATATTTGTTCCCCGACACTGTGGGAACACTCTTTTGTTTTAAGTGGCACGAACTTGAAAATGAGAGGTTGCTATCAAAACTCTTTTCCAAATGGTATCTCAACGAGGCGGACTTGAAGAAGTATCCATACAACATTGAAGAACCATACACATAACGGATATAATCCTTTTTGACTTGAGTGAGTCCCCAATTATCTTTCACGTTCCATTTGTCTTCCCATCCTATTTCCTTAACCATTTCAAGTACTTCAACGCTATGAATAGACTCGAGTTCCCAGTTCTTACAGGGCGATATCTCGAGCCTTCCATTGTACATGCAATTCGAGAGCTTAGGAACCATATGCACCCCGATTTCAGAGAACTTGTAGACTATGAACATGTACATAACATCCTCTACAACTTTTTGACATTCCACCTTTTTCATCTCACAGATTCTCCTGGAATTTCAAAATATTTTTAAACATTTCATCATATTCCAATACATAACATTCATTTATCGAACAATTACTCCGATAACTTAGTCATTTTAATCCACATAACAATTGGTTAATATCAAGACAGATTGTATATACAGAGAGCAAAGTTTAGCTTACTTAAAACGACACTCAAAAATGTGATCATATAGCAGTAAATATCTATTTTCTAAAGGTTTTAACCCTCAAATTAGAGGCGTTTTGCGAGTCCCTCTAGCACAATGTGGACAGACACCAATTCACAATTTCCTCTGACTCAATTTACGTGACACAATTAGTGTTTACATCATTAAACCATTAAAAAGTTTGGTTGAAGTCAATTTTACTGTACAATTACTTGAAAATATCTCTTTTGTAGGTTAATTTGACCTACAACGACATGTAATGCCACATATTAAGTCGAACTAATCTTATGATAATACATGGACACTATTTGTTCTTATGTTAGTAGGATGACATGTTAGTGTAAAAACTCGGGTTTATAAGTTAAATTCGATAAAAGTAAGATTAAGGTGACCTACCCAACAACAGACAAATTATACATATATATTATGTCACATGGTAAATTATAAAATAGACACGTTAGTGTATATTACTTAAACTCATATTGAAATAAGAACCTGTGAAGAATAACTTCATCAGTGTCCACGCTAAAAACACAACGAAGTAATGCTTCTTTCCTCATATACTCCAATTTCTCCAATTCTTTCTCCACAAATTCGTAAAACAACTCTTTCTCATTCTGCATATACCCGCTCAGCAATCTCCCTGCTTCTGTCGTTGGCACTAATGGAGCCGTTAATCCATTAAACATGCGGTTTTCATCGCCATTATTATTATTATTATTATCACTACAACAACTAGCTACTATTGACAATGAATTTTTCTTTTTCTTGCTCTTAAACAGAGTATTACTCTCTAAATTTCGTAAATTGAATGAAGAAAATTGTCGAAATTGAGGCAGTGAAATCTTGGAGTATGAACAAACACAATCCATTAACGAAATTTGATTATGAAAAACGCAAGAAAACAAAATATTAATAACTGTGTGAATGTTTGGTGAAATTGAAAGTAGTAGTATTATGAGAATAAGTAGAAGTAGAAGAATCTTAATCCGTTTCAAATTATAAAAATTTAGTAGTAGTAAGAATCCTTAACCAACTCAAATTATCAAAACTTTAAAAATATTATACTAATACTTTTTTTCCTAATTTACGTAGTACTACTCAAATTTGGAAGTTCATTTATTTTATTTTATTATAAATTTTAGAGTATTTTTAAAAATAGGAAAAAGACTCATAAATATCCTCCTTTCATTTTTATTTTTATTTTTGTCTAAAAATATCCCTATTATACCTTTTGGTTATCATCAACCTTTGTTATAATTGTCTCGATGCTAATCATGTTTTATTTTTATTTGTTCATTAAATCAGTGGCAGATTCAGAATTTCCATTAAGGGGGTTTGAAAAAAAATAATTGTGCCTAAGATTTGATCTTGGAACCTCAAGATGAGTTTTGGACCCCTTGGCCACTAAGCCAACCTCTAATCTTATATTTAGGAGGTTCAAAATCAATATCTAGACATAAAATTTCTTTAAAATACCTTAAATATACAAAGTCATTTTTTGCCGAGGGGGTTCGGGCCCCCTCGGCAACCTCTAGGTCCACCCTTGCATTAAACCTATATATTAATTGCTTAATTAAATGGGAAAACTTACATAAATTCACTAGTTTAGGTGTTAATTACTTAGATACACTCTAGTTTGCAATATTGAATCTTACCAGATTTTGGTGTGTCCAGATACATGTATCTGAGATAAATGATCATTTCGCTCACCTCTCTCCCTATTTTAATGTATCTAGTAGCAAAATATATATATATATATATAAAAGTGTATCTTCCTCGATATATGAAATAAAATTCTTAATTAGTAGTAAGATACGTAATTGTTTAAAAGTATAGATAGAATTAACATATATAGTATGAATGTATGTTTAATAAGGTAGTTTCTCCTAATTAAATTGGTGATTGAAATCTGGTATGAAGAGCTAAGCTATATATTTTGGTTCCTTGCTCGTTTAATTCTCTTTTAAGTTCTAACTAACTTTTTACTTAACAATTTAATATCGAAATCAAGTATAGCCTTTCATATTTGATCTGACTCGTTCATATGTAATTTGACATGCTTATTTCTCAGCACTATTTAACATGCTTTTCTTTAAAAAAAACTCAACGGTAATCTTGATTCTACCACTAATAAAGATCTTGCTTGATTATTATCGCCTTCTATGTTTTTCTTTGCACTAAAATACATTAATCAAAACTATAGAAACCTTAACTAAACGTTGTTCACCATTTTTACCTTTTAAAATAGATCTCATGCTAAAAAAATTGCTATTTAAACTTTCAATTATAAAAAGGGAAAATGCTCAAATATGTCTTCGAACTTTAAGAAAAGGCTCATTTATGTCATTAGTTAAAAGTTTGGCTCATCAATGTCATTGCCATTTAAGAAAAGACTCATTCATGCCATTATCTTAAACTCCGATTTTGCAAAATCATTTTTTACACTTCAAACAACTTTTAACATTTTTCAATTCTAGTTTTGGATCAAATGTATTGTTTTAGATCAAAGCATTATATTTTTATTTTTCGAACACATCATGCTGGAGCAGGGTATTTGGATCATGTTGTTGTTATTGAAGTATGTCACAAAATAAGGTTGAGAAGAACTTCTTTTCAAGACAACACTACTTTATTTCGAATTTGTCCCTTCCTTAAATGAAAATCTTAGATCCACCACTAATTACATTGGCCAACAAAAGGACCATCCTAATTCCTATCAATAATCAATCAACTATGTTTCAAATTATCAAAATATCAAATAAGCTGAATTCAACTATAATAAGGAATTCATTAAAAATCATATGAAGAATAAATAGTTTAATATTAACTAATTAGTATCACAGTACGAATGAAAGTTGTAAGCCTATTTGTTCTAAAACAAGTTGAAAATATAGAACAAGGAATCTACAATACTATTGCCAATAATGAAAGCTCTATACATCTCCAAATCTTCTTCTAATATTTAACATCAGATAAATAGCAAAATCCTTTATACATCAAGAAAACTGCAGTATACTTGACAACTACTATATATATATATATATATATATATATATATACTATAACCTATAGACTCTTTCGTTCTGTGTCCCGTTGATTAACGGGACACAGAAGCACAATGTGGTATCGAGGAAAACACATTTCCCCCCTTTACATGGTGAAACTAGTCGAGTGTGAACTTCCTCGTTATATGAGATCAAAACTCCTCGAGTTGATAAAATTTCCTAACGTGATCTTCTGCATCCCAAAGGAAAGAACCAAATGCAACAGCCTCCAACACAAACCTCTTCAGACTCGCAAACGACGTTGAGACTTCCTCATTACTCTCATTGCCAAAAAGCGCAGAACAATGCTTCTCAATCAGACTCTTTGCCTCTTTGAATTTTGGTTTTGCACACATTATCATTATTTCATTGTCAAGATTCGTAACATAAGACCTAAAATTGTCATACTTCTTCCCCTCGATAAGTGACACTGGACCAACTGATGTTGATCCTGTGTCACTTAAGGGAACACCTTTTTGTTTTAAAAGCCATGACCTCGGAAATGAGAGGTTGCTATAAGTTTTATCAAAACTCTGTTCCAAATGGTACCTTAACGAGGTTGACTTGAAGAAGTATCCATACAAAATCGAAGCACCATAGACATGACGGATTTGATCCTTTTGGACTTGAGTGAGACCCCAACTATCTTTCACATTCGACTTGTTCATGTCTTCCCATCCTATTTCCTTAACCATTTCGAGTACTTCAACACTATGAATAGACTCGAGTTCCCAATCCCTACGGGGAAATATCTCGAGCCTTCCATTGCACATACAATTGGAGAGCTTAGGAACCATATGCACTCCGATCTGAGAGAACTTGTTGACTATGAACATGTACATAATATCCTCTACCGCGTTTCGACACTCCAGCTTTATCATCTCAGAAATTCTCCTGCTATTTCAAAATACTCAAATATTAGTAAACATATCATTATATTCATACACATAACATCCTACCATCACAATACAGAAATCAACATTCATTTATCCACAATATAATAATTAGTCCCATAACTTTGTCATTTTAATCCACAACAAACACTTTTTCTTAATGTACCTTAACGACATTGGATCCAATGACAATTAACTAATGTTGGTAAAGACTTTAACACTCTTTATTAATGTGCATATTATTGCTGGTAAAAAGCTGTTTTTGGACATAGAATTCCACATATTAATCCAATGCTGAAATTTGACTTGTGACTACAAGTTACAACAACATAGGTTTCTAAGAAAAAACGTTAGTGCATATAACTTAAACTCTTATTGAAATTAGAATACAAACCTATGAAGAATAGCTTCATCAGTGCCCATGCTAAAAACGCTCCTAAGTAATGCATCATTCTTCATATAATTCAACCTCTCCAATTCTTTCTCCACAAATCCGTTAAACAACGGTTTGTCATTCTGCATAAACACGCTCAACAATCTCCCTGTTTCTGTCGTTGGCACTAATGGAGCTGTTAATCCATTAAACAGAGTACTACAACGAGTAGTTAATGCCAATGAGTTTTTCTTTTGCCTGTTCTTAAACAGAGTACTACTCTGTAAATTGAAAGAAGAAAATCGTCGAAATTGAGGCAGTGAAATCTTGGAGTATGAACAAACGCAATCCATTAAAAAAAAATTGGTATGACAAAATTTGATTATGAAAAACACAAGAAAACAGAGGAAAGTATTAAACAGTATGTAACTTTGGTGAAATTGAAACTAATATGATTATGAGAAGATAGGAAGATTAAATAATAATACAAGAATTCTAATCAATTTCAACGAATGATTAGTTGTTGGAGTCCATAACCAACTCAAATTATGGAAATTCTACTAATTATTATCAAATAATACTACTACTATTACTTTTTTTCCTAATTTACGTAGTAGTGTTCAAATTTGGAAGTTTATTGTTATAGTTTAATCATAAATTTTGGAGTATTTTTAAAAATAGGTAAAAGATTCATTAATGTCCTCCTTTAAACTTTTTTTTTGTCTAAAAATATCGTTTAACCTGTTTTTTTTTTTCCGATAAGCTTAAAATATTAGAAATAGCTCAAAAATATCCTTATTTTACCTTTTGGTCGGGAAATACCATCAATCTTTGTTATAATTGCCTCCATGCTAATCATGCATTATTTTTATTTATTCATTAAACCTTTATATTAATTGCTTAACTAAATGGGAAAATTTACATGAATTCCACTAGTTTAGGTGTTAATTACTTAAATACATTCTAATTTACAATATTATGATTCTTACTAAATTTTGGTGCGTCCAAATACATATATCTCGAAATAAATGAGGTCAAAATTAAGTGTAATTTGTTTTAGATACATTGAATCCAAGTGTATTCACATGCATTTGGATATATAATAAATCTCGCTCACCACTCTCTAACGTATCTGGTGTCTCAAATACATGCGAATCACACTGGATACATGTATCGTGTCTAGTGTGATTCACATGTATATGGAATAAATGATTATCTCGATCATCTTTTTCCCTATTTCAATGTTTATGGTAGCCAAAATTCATGTATTTAGATGTATCTTCCTCAATTAAATTGGTGATTGAAATCTGGTACAATGAAGAGCTAAGCTATTTATCTTGGTTCCTTGCTGGTTTAGTTCTCTTTTAAGTTCTAACTAATTTCTTACTTTACGATTCAATACCAAAATCAAGTGTAGCCTCTTATATTTGATTTGACCTGTTGATGTTTTTCTTTGCACTAAAACGCATTAATCAAAACTATAGAAACCTTAGCTAAATGTCGTTCGCCTTTTTTACCTTTAAAAATAGACCTCACGTTAAACAAAATTGTGATTTAAT